ACTCTCTGTGTTAGGGTGGGTTATAAAAACTCATCCTCGTGACATAATGGGAATTGAATAAAAATAGTAAATAAAATACAATAACTATAACTTTCGAAAAATAAAACTTAATATAGATAATGACCACATCTGGGTGAATAAAAGCACAAGGTTTAAAAATTAATTGTCATTCAATCACAGCTTTGCAAAACTCACCTCGCAATCTAGCAAATGATTCATCTACCAAAGATAGTGTCAACTGTGTTTCATATGATAGTTTAATGTTCAGCGTGTCATCAAAAAGATCAACTCACTTTCTTTCGTAGCGTCAAACTTTTGAATCGAAGGCTCTCAACCTCGCGGCTGTGCGTGACGCACGGATGCGATGCGTCGCGAGGGGGGCTTGGCGCCCGCAGCTTCCAGCCGCCACAAAGCCACACATTACCCATATTCGGCGGGCTAATTTCATACTATTTGATATTAACATGCCATTTGATGGACTGGTAATCGGCGTTTGCATTGAAAGGGGTAATAGAGGACTCTGGTCAAACGCCTGGGAAGGGTTGGCGGCGGGGGGCGGAGAGGGGAGGGGGAGGGTCGAGGGCGGGGTGGCCGACGATCGTCCCTGGCGGCTCGACTGCGGGAGAACCTGGGGACAGATCCCCGACCCCGGCATGTGATCCTCGCCTTTCAGCTGCAGCGCCATCGGAGCCGGGGGAGTGGTGCTGGCAGGGGAGGTGAAAGGGCGGTGCTGGAAGCGGAGGGATGATGCGCCTCGGGCCGGCTAGCGGGCACGGCGCGACTCGGGATATGTATGGGTTGGCGGTTGGAGGCGGTGGGTGGAGGGACTGCCGGGCGGTAAGGGCTGTGCGGGCGCCGAGCGTGCTGGACCTACGGGAGAGGAGGGTCGGGGAGGGTGGAGCTGGGGTGGTCTAGGCAGGGGTGCGTATGGGCGGGGAGGAGCGGCCTGCGAGCGGAGCGGGCGGCAAGGCGGTTGGCGATACGGGAGAGGATGGGCGGGGAGGGTGAACGCGGGTGGTCTATGGAGGCGGTGAGCATGGGGCGGGGAGGGAGCGGCGCTGGAAAGCCGGAGCGGGGCAAGCGCGGTTGTGCATACGGGCAGAGGATGGGCGGGAGGGTGGAGCGGGGTGTTCTAGAGGGGTGAGATGGGGCGCGGAGGGAGCGGCTTGGAGCGGAGCGGGGCAAAGGTCGGCTGGCTATAGGGAAGAGGAGGGCGGGCGAGGTTGGACGCGGGTAGGTCTAGGAGGGGTGAGTATGAGGCGGGGAGGAAGCGCGGCTGGAGCGGAGCGGGGCAAGGCGGCTGGCATACGGAGGAGCGACCTGGGCGGGGAGGGTGGAGCGGGGTGGTCTACGGAGGGTGAGTATGGGGCGGGGAGGAGCGGGCTGGAGGGAGCCGCGGGGCCAAGGCGGCTGGCATACGGGAGAGGATCGCGCGGCCGGGAGGGTGAGACTGGGGTGGTCTAGGAGGGGTTGAGTATGGGCGTGGGAGGAGCGGCGCTGGAGCGGACGGCGGGGCTATAGGCGGCTGGCATACGGGTGAGGATGGGCGGGGAGGGGTGGCAGCGGCGGTGGGTGACTAACGGAGGGGTGAGTTATAGGGCGTGGAGGAGCCGGCCTGTGAGCGGGAGTCGGGCAAGGCGGCTGTTGCCATAGGGAGAGGATGGGGCGGGGGAGGGTGGAGCGGGTGGTGCTAGGAGGGGCTGAGTATGGGCGCGGGAGGAGAAGGGGCTGGAGCGGAAGCGGGGCAAAGGCGGCCTGGCCATACGGGAAGGAAGGGTGGGCCGGGGAGGGTGGAGCGGGGTGGTCTAGGAGGGGTTGAGTAATGGGTGGGGAGGGAGCGGCCTTGGAGCGAGCGGGCAAGGCGGCTGGCACGCATAGGGTGAGGATGGGCGGGGAGGGTGGAGCGGGGTGGTCTTACGGAGGGGCTGGAGTATGGGCGGGGAGGGGGCCCTGGAGGCGCGCAGGCGGGGCAAGGCGGCTGGCATAGGGAGAGGCATAGGCGGTGCGTTGAGGGTGGAAGCGGGGGTGGTCTAGGAAGGGGATCGAGTATGGCGGGGAGGAGAAGGGCCCTGGAGCGGAGCGGGGGCTAAGGCGCGTGGCATAGGTGGAGGATCGGGCGGGGAGGTAGAGCCGGGGCCGGTTCGAGGGGGTGAGGATGGCAAGGGAAGGGGGGGGGGAGTGGAACCGTGCGAGTTGAGCGGACGAGGGAGAGGGCGGGGCGCGCACGCGAGCGAGAAGGGTGGAGAGGGTGGAGCAAACGCGAGGGGGGGGCGCGCTGCGGCGGTACCTCGGTTGTTTCAGGGCGGCGCGGCGCTGCGAATCGCAAATGATAGCAAAACCGCTGAGGTTTGCGGGCGTTGGATGAGGGCAAAACAGGATGGGTCGACGGACAGCGCTGGCGCTTGCCTCACATCGTGGATTACGGATTCCACTAGCTATTACCTTTGGCAATATAATAATATGCGCAGTAGTTTCACGATCGGTTTAGCCTTTGATATGTTTTTGAACTCTTGGTTTGTTTTTGCACCCTAATTAGCGTCTCGATG